AAAATACAAAATACTCTAAGATTTCGGACCAACTCAATGCTTATTAAAATTAGTTGCAAAAGAGTAGTTTCGGGATTAAGTTTTGCTCTATAAAAGTCTTCTTATGCATTTTAGCGAAGTTAAAATCTTAAGGAAAGTTAATCATTCAATAGTTAAAAGTTTTTTAAAAATCACTTTTAAGACAAGAACAAGGAACAACACCTCTCGTTTTGTTGTTGTTGTTAATGTTGATTCTCTTTACTCAAATAGAACTTTCGAATCCAGACTAATGAAGCATCGTTTGTGTCTGTTAATTTGTGGAAGCTCTGAATTTTTTAAGTCTGGTTTTTTAAGCAAGACTTCGGTAGCCTCAACGCAGACAGTCGCGCGTATACGTAGCTCGCGCTCTACGCCCGCTTCGAGCTTGTCTTGGCCCGCCGAAAAAAAAAAAAAAAAACAGAAAAAGTAAAGGCGTGTTCTGTGACTAGGCTTTCGGGATGAGCAAAGCCATCAAGTCTATATACCATCTACCAGGAAAGCCTAGTTTAAATTCAAGAGCACTTTTTCGCGTCATTTATATTAAGGTAGCCTGATGCTCAGACGTCCGGGAAAGAGAAGCGAAGGGACCGCGAACGACCCCGGATGTCTGAAAATCAGGCTAAGGCGGCTGGCATAGGAAACATAGAAGGGTATTAGGGTGATTTTACTTGAACCGTGAAATAGATAGTAGAATACTACGCACTATATGCGCTAATCTTGTCTTGTTTTGTTTACCTCTCGCCATTTTGGCCTTCTTGTTAGTATCCGTTTTACGGAAGAACAATAAGTAACGCCACCTTTTATCAGACTGAGGCAACTGAAGTGGAAATTTGGCGCTTAATTAAGCGTCGTTTGCGTCTCGTTGCTTTAGACATCTTATTTGTTTAATGACAAACTTTGAGCTGAGGCTATGACAGAACGCTCTTAACATTTTCTTTAGAAAAAGAATGTCGGCAGGCCTGCAGGGAGTTGAAGAGGTTTTTTTAATTTTTTCGACCAACACCAAAAATGACTCTTGAGATTTTTGAGTTGTCTGATAGCCAAAGAAGCTTTGAATTATATTATATAATTGAATTATAAGGAAGCGTCCTAAAGATCTGACTGGGAGAGCCTACCCCCCACCCCGCCCTCCAACCCTTCCCCTTTCTTCTCCCTGTCTGATCGCGTTCTTTAGCTTTCTTTGCCCGATACCCCACAAGAGAGCCTGTTCACGGGCTACTTAATGTGGGACGGTGTATATGTATCTCCATAGAAACGAAATATTAGCAAAGTTTTGCTAGACATTGGGTGAGAATAAAGTGAAGGACTTGAAGAGTATAACCGAGAAGCGCGGGAGTTGCTGTTTTAGCCTTAACACGAGATCAGAACACCACTCTACGATCCGAACATTTCTGGTTCGAACAGCGATGGCCTGCTTCACGAGCAAAAGATGTTTTTACGAAAACAGATTAAAATGAAGTAGAACCACACTTTAAACTTACATCCGACCACTATTTTTCACCTCGGCAGTAATTACGCAGAAACAACGAACAATTATTATGATAACCTTTTTTAATGGCTTGATTTTTCTTGTGTAACAAACTAACTTAACAAAAGATAGATGTGAAGCTCAATTGTAAAACTTGCATTTCTGGGATACTAAAAAGTGCATCAGAATGTGCTGCCTCCTTAGCTTACTAGAAGAACAAAAAATCAAACTAGTGTCATGGTTCTACTCGCTTAATCTGGTTGGAAAAATGTTCAGGTCTGAATGCCATTAGGTATCCATCTTGGGATAAGGTAGGGGTAGGTCAGATCACCTCTTTCCTTTCGCTCTTCATTCACTTCTTGCATCTTAGGTTGAACATTGTACATGAGGTAGCTGTAATATTCGTTGATAAGATTGACAGCTTTGATGTCCTCAAGGTTGTTGCCGTAATCAAATAAAGTGTCAAAACGGTATAACGCTAGGGAGTTACTGAAGCTGGCTTCGACCTGAAAAAAGAATTAAAACGTGAAATGATTTATTAACTGAGTTCACAAAGTCAATTTATTACAATTAATAGGTTCGAAACCGGGATTATTCAAGCGCTAGCACTTCATAGTCATCAATGGTCCATTTGACAGTTAGAGGTGGAAACGACTGGGCTGGAGTTGACCTTTGATACAACCCTTTCTGCTTTTATTATGTAACGTATGTCGTTCTTATGCTAACTTGTATTTTTAAGAATAATTTCCATGAGAAAAGGGAAGAAGGTTTGTATCAAAACAAGGTCAATCGCAACCTCACTTTCGATCATTGGCTGGGATACTAAGCTCAAAAGTGTAAAATGGTCATTAATTGTGAGCCGTAAAGCGTTTATTTACATATCGATTTATGGACCACCCTCCCCCCCTCCCCGCCGAAAAAAAAAATAACGATAATTAATAATAATAATAATTTTATTCGACTTTAAATAATTTACAGAAATATTTGAAATAAGAATTAAGCACTATATAACATTAAGAATTATATAAATCATAAAAATACAGTCATTCTGTCAATAACGATTTCCCAAATGCGATCAATAACTCTTGCAGGCAGTCCACAGTCATTTACAAAAGAGAATTATCCGTCCCTGATATTAAAAAGAAACAAAGTTCTTAATAATAATATTGGAACTTTTATTTGTGTCTTTGAATGTACAATTGTAAATCTCGCTACGTATAGGCAATTTACAAATGCAGCTTGAGATTGGATTATTCATAAAAACAAAACAAAACAAAAGCAATAATAAAGAAAAGAAAAGAAAAGAAAAGAAAAGAAAAGAAAAGAAAAGAAATCAAAATTGCATTAAGTCTGGGCTATCCCAATTCCTATTTCTACAACAAAAGATGTAATGTGTTGCTCTAATGGCTATATTTATCATTTTCTTGGTTATATAAAGTTGCTGCTTTTTGTCAATGCCAATGTCATTCATCATGTCTAAGAACATGGAGCATTCATCGGAGAAAACGCCAAGGGAGCTTATGGAGAGATTTACAAATCTCACATATCTTTAATTTCTACTCATTTCGTTGATCAAGTTCAGATATTTTTCTTTTTCAAGGTTTCTTTAAGGTTAGAAGATCTGGACGATAATTTTCACCAGTTATTATTATTATTATTATTATCCCTGATGATGATTATTATTCAGAAAACCATTAACATCTGCATAGAGTGAAGAGTGAACATTAATTACAGGTTGAAGTGACTTGGCAATAAAGTTGAGGATTGAGTCGTGTCTCCAGGTAAAGCGATCACGGTATTGTTGACAACCAGCGACAACATGAAGGAGTGATTCAGGATTAAGGCAAAAGGAGCAATCAGGATTTTGTGATACCGTATTCCCCATCTTGCCATATTCTTACGTTTAGGGAGGGAGTTGTTGATGTAGCGGATGATGAAATGATAATCATAATTATAATCATAATCATTATAATCATAATCATAATCGTAATCATAATCATAAAATAAAACATATTAAATAAAAAGAATAGAGAAACCAGAGGAAATTAGTTGGATGAATGCCCTCTTAGATTCTATGGACATTTTAAAGTGATGGCGTAAGATATTAAGATATGCGGAACCTCTTCCTTTTTCTCTTCGCTTCCCATCATCCCCTTCGCAGAGATGCTGTAGTAGTCTCCGATCCTGCAAAGGATTAGAGAAGATTGGGGACAAGCCAGAGGAGGCATTTTTTAAAGCTGTATTCGTGAGGTATTTGATTACTACAATATTATTATGACTTTTAGCCCAGCAACTTCAAACACACTTAACCAACAACGGAACCTGCTAATTGATGAACTTACGACAGAAGTATTCCTGTTTGGAAGTCGGAGAACCGAGAATTCCCCCTCCTTCAGTCTGGTGTCATTGTACAGCTTCGTTGGTAGGTTAGGAGTGTACTCAGCATAGTCTGATAGCGGGTAGTTGACTGTGGCGTGTTGGAGGCTCAGTTGTGAGATGATCCGGGTTACAATATCACAGAGTTCTTCTTTAGTACTGATCTTTGGCGGTAAACCTTGAATCTGTTAAAATTGACACAATGTTGATTCATTGCTGTCCATTTATAGGGTGAATGGACCAGTAAATTTTAATATTTATAAGAACGGGTTGGGCTTTTTAGTGATAGAGCGATTTTTTGCATGACCTTGAAAAATGGTTTCGGTATGGTAAAAATGGTAAGTGTTCGGTATTTTGTCTTTTATATCAGCCAATGGATGAAAAGATCAAAACATGGACTCTTTGTTTTCCCGCCTAAGAAAAACCTAATATGAAGAAGGCATTGTTCGATTAGCTATCGTGTTTGAGTATGACGTTAAAGCGAATATCGATTGATTTCTAGAAAGTTCTCGGACATAAAGTTTCCTTCACCCGAGCGTTCGCTTAACCAACCAAAAGCCACGCGCGTTTGCATCCGTTCGATAAACCAATCAAATCGCTCTATTTCCGTTCTTTTGTTGTTTCTGTTTTGTGCGTGCGTTTTTATGTGATTTCAAAGTCATACGAAAATCGCTCTATTCTATAGTAGACAGTTTTAGAAAATAATAATCATCATCATGATCGCAATCAAATTTTGGAGGCAAATGCATGTTACCGGCACCAAGAGGGGAAAAAGCTAAGACTGGTTTACTTTGCTGGCCGAGCCTGATTAGTAAAGAAGGATAGTGCGATTTATTTTGATCAATCAAACAATAGAAAAGCGATCACGAAATTAATCCCTTTCGATATCTACGCTCACCCCATCTGCGTCTCTTTATTATACGTTTATAGGTATTTTCCCCAAAGAGGGAAAATTGGCGTTCTTTTTAAATTTGATCATTGTCAGTTCAACAAGAATTATGAAACATAAACTGTTTGCTAGTAAGTTCCATGTACAAAATGACGCATCCTTTTTGGACAAATCACATGGGTAAAGAATCGAACGAAATTAATCTTTCTTTCTACTCAGTGTAAAAAAATACTGTTCTAGCTAATCTTAAAAGTCCGATAGGCCTGTGTTACGGACGAAATTTTTTCTGTAATTAAGAGGCAAGATATTTGCCACAACAAACAAAAGTTAGAAGTTTTTGATGATCATGACGTCACGAGACTTAAATTCTTGAGTTCCCTTCAGAAATAGAATCTATACCCTCCCAGATGTTCCGGGGCCTGATTGCATGGGGCGCTCTATTCCCTGCATTTTTCCCAGAAAGTCTTATGGAGAACAAAGCCGTCTCGCCTTAAGGTTAGTAGTACGGCAGCTAGGTGACGCTACAGCAGAAAACAAACAGAACAGCTTATCAGCAATATGACTCTGTAAGATTACCTTTCCAATGCGACCGTGGAAGAAAAATGTTCCATCAGTAGACAACTCATTGAGGTAATTGCAAAATTCCTTGTCATTCTTTACGTCTTGATTGTCGTAATAATACCTAAAACACGATGAAATTCATGGCAATAATTCAATTTCTGCAAACAAATACTTGCGGAGCACAGTAAACAATAACAGAGTATAATTCTTTATTATGAATCTAATTGGGGTAAGGATAGGGGGCAGCCCTTAGATGTTAACGCCCATTCAATCATATTATTCGCTGGCACATTAGAGATCTTTAAACATGTTCCATTTTCCAATTATATCTCTGCTGTTATTTACAGTGCCATATAAAGCTATAGGGTGCTCGTTTGCTAGCTCGGCAATAATTTATTTTAGAAGGAAATAGTTATTCGGAAAATGGACCATGTTTAAAAGATATTTAAGGTAAGTTTTAATGACTACCAGAACAAACCTTTTATTTGTATACAAAATTTTGATTCCACATCTTCATGCAGCTAGGTTTTACGTAAGTTGACCATGTACCTTTTAAAATTATATCTCTGCTATTATTTATAATGCCTTAAAGCTGTACCTTATTGGAAAGGGCAGAAAAGTTGTCTTTTTTGAATGTGTAACATTGTATAAATATACATTCTTCTTCAATATCTAAGCAAAACAGCCGGCGAATCGTTCGAAAATATAGAGCGACTTGGAATTTTCCACAAATTTGTTTTCTCATTAACGCACGAATTCATCCGTTAATCAAACTAAATGGTTTTCTAATGGTTTCCTTTCTGATTCTGTTGAGATCACTTTGTGTGTATACAGCTCTTTTGAGAAAGGTGGTAGGAAAAAATGTGCTTGCGACAATCCCGAAAGGTGATATGGGATATGATCAATACACTGTTCCTGGCACTCAGTAGCTGTGGAACCTACTTCTGGTGCTTTCCTTTGGCACTCGCAAACATACGTCCATGGTCGTTCGTACGAACGAACTGTTAACTCGAAACCACACAAAATACCTTTAGGGAATGTCGCGTGCACTTTTTCCGACAGCCTTTCTCGAAGTAGCCGTATACTAAAACAATTATTCACCTATTGCTGAATAATTATTTCAACAATATCAACTTCGCCTTCGGTGAATGATTGTTAAATTACTTGTCAATATGGATAGTGGCTTCGAGATTATTGAATTGCACGGTTAAAAGTTAACATTTTAATTTCCAAGTTAATATATTGAAAGAGTTTAATGGTAGCCCCGCTTTTAGGTTTGGGTAAATTCGATTCATATATCAGAGTAGTATATAATTAAACAGTGGATAGTGTTTTTCGCGCGCTCTGATTGCCTACTCAAACTCGGGATGTCCAGTGCTATTCACTGATTCACCTCCAGTTCCTCCCAAATTCCTCACAAATAATCAAACAAGCTGTTCCCAAAATACACGAAGAAGGTGACGAAATTCGGTTTGCAATTTTTAACAGGTAAGGCTTTGCCTGTTTGACTTGAATTTTATCGATGAAAGCGGAAAAAAAAACGTTTTTGTTTGCAAATGTAAATTAAGTCTTGCGTTACTTTATTTAGCTGACATGTTTACAAATAAGCTTAAGACTAGACTTAATGTTTTTTTTTTTACAGGATGGTTTTAAATATAAAAAGAATTCACAACTCCTTTTGAAGAAATTTCCCCGCAAGAGCTTAACAATTGCCTTCAAAAGTTCTATTTGTCGGTAAGAAAACGCAGCGACCGCCGGTTCGGTCATTGCTCGCTAAAATTGTTGTCGTTGGCAACAGTAAATGAGTTAAAACTAATCATTTTTGTGCTCAATTATCTCACTGTTTTAGTATATACTAAAACAATTTTTCACCCAGTATCGGTGGCTAGTGGTATAATTTTACCAAGCCGCGAAGCTGCAAGGTAAATATCCACAACTAGCCACCCTCACTTCGGTGAATAATTGTTATGTAACCGGTTGCGATATCGTTCCACATCTTCTACATACTTACAAGTCTACATATTCCTTCACCAAGTTTTCAATAACCTCCAAGATTTTCTCTCCATCATCTCGGTAAGGGAAGTATGGAAGGAGATCCTTATCATCCACTCCGCGTTTCTTATAAATACAACATTACAAAAGTCAGATCATTGACAAAAAAATTGCAGTTAAAACTCTCACAGAATAAGACAAATAAATAATGCTATGTGCAGATTGCACCTCATCCTTGAAATTTGATTTTCATCTGGTAAATAATCTTATCAATATTTTTTGAACAACCCCCTGAATGACATATTTTCCCTAGCATTATTGATTAAAGTTTCAAACGAATGACCTAAACTGAAAAACTCTTGAGAAAAACCCAGGCAATTCATCTCGTTTTAATTTTCTTGAATTTTGTCCATAATAGATCTTTCCTGCATTCCTGTAAACAAAGGCACCAACTCGAGGCTCGGGTGTACAAAATACAGTGATTTGTATGAAATTGTCCACCCGAGCCTCGACCTCATTTCTTTATGTCTGCTCACTGGAGCGTAATGCGGGAAAGGTCTATTGCTATCATCAATATACTCTCTTATTAGAATATTAGAATATTCCTTCCTTTGTACCCAAGCGTCCAAGCCGATCTACTATACTTCGCATTCAGTGGCTGCCTTTTTCTAATGGCTTATTTTAAGCAAATGTCATGACATAGACAACTTACGAACAAGCATATATGGAAACACATGAGACAGCTGTTGGCATAGCCTGACATCAGTGAATAAAAGAATGGTAAGTTGCCTTAAGTAACAACTCACTTTTAACTCTTTTCTAAAATCTGTAACGTTCCATGTGGATAACGGATGTGCATCGTTCAAAAGTCGATTAGTTCCAACAGTTCCAAATGCAAACAGCTGATCCATATATTCTCCTTCGCCAACAAGAACAGGAGCTCCGATTGTGTTCGGTATTAAGACATCTCGACAATGATGCTGTAGTATTTGATACAACGGGTGCCGAGGGGACAGCGTGCGTCGTAATATAACACAGAATGGTTCCATCAGGAAATGAACCTTGAATAATGAATACATATAAACCCGGCAAATTTTAGAATTGATTAATCATGAATTAATTATTAATCATTAATTAAAGGTACTCTAAATATCACCGCATGACCTACTATATTTAAACAACAGCAATAAATGTAGAAAGAGAGTGAGAGTTTCAGACGACTTTATTGCTAGTTATTCGATATTCCGCCTCTAAATATAAAAATCGACTCCATTCAATGAATAGAGAAATATATTGCCCAAAATTTGAGAGGCTAGTTTGTGCCCGGAAGTTCCATTTCCGTCTAAGGAATACACTCGTGGCCTGAAACTAACAGAGTTTTGCCACCATATTGAAATGATAGAAATGGTTAACTAAATTAAGAACCAACTATCCCATGGCCATCCACAACAGGTCGGGGCGGCCGTACATCTATCGTAAGCAACAATAATAAATTACCTTAGCAAGATGTTCCACTATTTGCGCGTATGCAAGATCTGTGACTTGAACGTTCAGTTTAGCCATCATCCAGTTGCCTTCGTCTTCGGGCGTAAAAACCACTGAATCTACATGTAAGAATGCAAAAAGAGGTCAGCACAATTGAAACTTGCAGCTCAAGAGATATTTGTTGGCTTCACACTAGAAGCGAAGTTCGCAATTAAGCAATTATTGATTCAAGAGCACGTGGAAATCTTAAGTCTCTCTGAAGAAACGTGGCTTCAAACTTGTTGACGAGTATGTTACTTGAAGTACAAGCGGTAGGTTCCAGGTAAACTTAGATTATTCTTGAGAGCTCTTATGTAAGCCAACAATTATATTTCTATTTTTGCTCCTTTCTTTGTGATAGCACTATTTTTTATTAAAATTAATACCCATTATGTGCTAGCTTGCATGCATTTTTATTTTTTAAGATATAACTTGGCTTCACACTAGAGGCTTAGTTTGTTTCAAGTAAGCAAGTGCACTTAGAAATCTTAAGTTGCTCTGTAGGAAACATGCCTTACACTTGTTGACATAGTATATTACATGAAGTAAAAGCTATTAATCTCTCCTTTCATTAGAATCTTTGAACCGCTGCACGTGCACATCGTGCACATGGCTTCCATTTCTCAAGTGTGGTGAAGCCCATACTTGGCGGCGAACTTCGGCTTCTTTGAACTACGAACATTTCCATGGTCACCAAGTAAAGTTTAAGTAGGTACATTTTACCCCTTCACACTCAAAAGTAGGTTCCAAGTCTATACTTACATTATACTTGGAGCTCTAGTGTGAAACCAACAATAGACAAACATGGTTTATGGGAAATTTGTTTCTCAAAGAAATAAAATGCTTTTATGCACAATGTGACTGATCAATGCTTCATTTCTCCAGCGACCATTGAAGGCGTGTACCCGTCTGGACATCGTTATGTGCATTTGTAGGGCACTCCTTTCATTTTATTGTACTGTACTCTCCTGGATCGCGGGCGTGCCTCACCTTATCTGGGATAATTGTGTTTCTGTTTTTCCTGGCTCAGTTGCTTTTAGTAAATAAGAACTTACCCCTGTGGCCAAATTTATCCCAAAATGGAAATATCATTACTCGATATCCAAGTAACATCAATAATTGACTTTATGATTATTATCTAAAGGAACATGAAGCATAAATCTATTTAGGGGCCCGGTTCAAACGTTGAATTTCGCATTTTACGTCAAGTGAACGGGAGCAATAGATTTTCCTCTTACGTGAAATGCGACGTTTTAACCACGCCTAAATTAGTTGAAGTTACATAAAGGAATACAAGCGTAATTAAAACTGTTTCCAGAAAGTGGTCCAAAAAAAGTTTGCCGTACCGGGGGTATAGTCCATTTGAATAGCCACAGGAACAAGCTTATTTTGTTTTGTTAAGAAGTCTGGTGCAGATACAAACAAAGCAATTGGAGAAAGAGTGTCCCACATGGTCCTTCGTGGATCACTATCTGTGAGGTCTGGTTCTCTGGGCAAGTCGTCACACAGTTCATAACGGAGGGCATAAACACGGCCCTGTATAATGGCCTATAAAGGAAACAAATAAGAAATAATAAGAAAACACAAGCAGACTTTAATCTCATTGTACTAACTAATGACAGTACTCGACGTACCTCAGTCTAGTAAATTGGTCTTAGCTCTGGAAGAAAAATGCATACCAGAGCGCTATAAATTCAAGTGCACTAAGGGAGTGCATAATTCATAGAAACTAGAGACAAATACGAGGAAACACTTACCTCCGCTATCGAGTCTCCGTTACCCAAAACCTTTTGAACAGCAGTTTCCCAGTCAAAATTGGGGTTCAGCAATTCCTTAAGTTTGTCCCAGTCCAGTCCTATTGGTTCTACGGGAGAAAGAAATAACTCATTAATTTCCAAGTTCCCCGAATGTAACTTTTCCTCAAAAACTATCACTTCCAATTCGATCCGGAATGGTGAAAAAAAAAAACATGTTGTGTATTTACTTTTAGGCTTAAGGAATTCTTTAAAAGAAATGTATTATCACTCGTAAATGAAAAGTGTTAGCGTAAATGTAGACCCCAGCTCTTAAAATTCACACGCACTTGGATATAAAGCTGAAATTAACTGACACTTCCAAAGTATCGAGTCCTCATTACCCAAGGTCTTTTAAACAGCAGTTTTTTCAAACAGGACTGTAAACTGTTTAATTTTGCCCAGTTTTTCATTAATTAAGGAAATTGGCTTGTTGGAAGGATTTGATAAAAGATTAAATTAAAGCAACTTTTTTCCAATAAGAAGGGAGTTCAAAGAGAGAATCACTGACCTTCAGAGGCACCATGGAAAGTCACTCGCCTCAAAGACATGGGATTGACTCCTGCCAAACGTTGTTGAGTGAAGTACTTATCACTAATCCATTCCTTTTTGTCAGTTATGAAGGGTTCGTATTGGGACGCTCGCATTGCAACCTCCTAAAAACAACCACAGAATAGATAGAGTATGAAAATTATTTTTGAAAGAAATAAATTGTTTTATGATTAATGTGACTGATTAATGTCTTCAGATTCCAATCTCGTTCCCAGAGGCCGCGATCCTTTTGCACAGCGACAGGGATCACTAACCTCTGGAAGAATCCGAAAAAAACACCTCTGATTGGCCGAAAAAAATCGTGTTTATCACATGCAAATTTCTTTGCTAATCAAAAAACCGTGAGCACGTTGATTCGATTTGTGTACACACAAATCTTATACGACTTGAAACAGTGAAGAAAAACGTTTAGCTCGATATAAATGACGCTACAATGATATTTTGTTCAAAAATTTCCTTCAAGTCTTATTTTTAAAACTTATCCCAATGCTTTTTTTAAAGAGATGCTATACATTTATGCTATACTGAACCTTCCAAATTTGGCTCATCATGGGTGTAAGAACCTGTTAAACTCACCGGTGATGTAAAACAAAGAAAACAAAGAAGTCAACACAATAAAACCTAGAAAACAAAAAGTACAAAACAAAGAAAGAGTTCATAGGTTCTTACACCGAGGTAAACCCTAAAATTTGCCTACTGTTGTGCTCATTCTGAGCACGAAAGAATGTATGTCGTCGTGACTAACAAATGTTCATTCGTCGTGTTTAAATAAATGTACATTTTCTTCACCAAATACATCGACCAAAGGTCACAGAAAGAAAAACTGCTTTGGAAAGAGTAAATTGTAACAATGTGCGAGCAAGGAAAATTTTCCTTGAGAACTTTTCTTAGTCAAATGGGTAAACAATTTCACGCAGGCGCAATTAAACCGGAACCAGGTTCCGGTTTTGGATTCTTCCAGAGCTGTTGTTGCGTCATCGGCTGGACAAAAATAACGGAGGCTCTGGGGACGAGTTTGGCGAGGGGGCGTTCTTGCCATCCGGAATATTGTAAGGACATTCTTAAGACAAGAAAGCGAGGCACGACGCCCCCTGCTCACTGAAACAATTAAGTTAGGACACAGATGCGGAAAGCAAGCGATTTTGTAAGTCCCTTTGTGCTTCTTGGGTCTTAGCGACCGAACATCACATCGTCTTTGAGATAAGTACTCGATTATTGCCCGATGGCTCACTGTCTACTTTCTTTACTGTCATATTGATCGTGATGTGCACATGATCACTTACCTGTCTGAAGAAAGCCTAATCGTAAAATAATCATTTGTGTAATTTTCATTTAGAACTCGATATCAGTTTATTATAATTTTTTTAATTTGTAGTAAAAATATTTAATGTGTATGAAGTCACTTATGTCTATATAGCTGTTAGTGAAAGTATTCATGTGTAAGTATTTTTACCTTAAAAATGATTTTCACATGACTCAGCCCTGGGGCACCCGACGAATTATTTCTGTAAAGTTACTGTTCGAAGAAGCAAATATTGCCTAAAACTGATTTCTGAAAGCTCGAGAAAGGCTAAAAATTTCTTGAGAACCGTTCAAACTAGGATTTTCGGAGTTTTCAGTGTGAGTTTTTCTTCCAATTTACCTACGATTTTCGAAGGTTTTGTTTCTCATATTTTATTATTAAAGATATTACGTTTATTGTTAGGAAAGGTCTCCTGAAAAATTTCTGTTTAAAGGAGAAGCTTCCCTTACAATTTTCTTATGAATGTGCGGCTACTCCATGACATTAAACTTTCAACCGAACCCATCCTGGTTATCTAAAAGTTTTGGGTGAGACAAAAAGCTACTTAAACCTTTCGAGACGACCAAAGTTTCTCTAAGACATCGGAGCAGATAAATAGAGTTTAGGACAGCGCCAAAGTAACCAAACAGGCTTCTGAAGCATAGAGAAAACAATTTGAGACTCGGTCTGGGTGCCCTTTAGTCTAGCTTGAGATATTTAACAGTTATGGGTTGATGCTTAGTAGAAACCAGGTGAATACCAACGGCCTTTATTTCAGCTAGATAATTATTACTGCTCTGAAGCTTGTGGAGTCAAGCCTTAGTGCCAGCTACGTTACTTTTACTTATATCATCATGAATAATTACCTTAAAATAACTGACGGTGTGTCTTGGACAGGATGACAGGATAATGCAAAATCACTTAACCAATTGTCTTTACAAAATTTTCAAACTGGCACAATGGTTCATATTATTAGGTAGCATTCTCTCTCTGAATTGGAAAACAAATGTGGTAACATGTTTGTGTAGCAGTTTTACCCAGAGGTATTAATAAATTTATGCTTCATATGAAGCTACTCTGACTTCTACAACGTATCAGTACTTAGAGATTTATAAAAGCTCACGGAGATTTGAAAAAAAAAAAAAAGTTGATACTTCGTGTCTTGGCAGGCAGGTTTGAGGGGGGCCACATAAGTGGAAAGAAGCGAAGGTACAAAACATAAAATAATATTATACTAATTAAAATGGGACGTGACTCGCATGATTTATAATATTGGGTGGTAAAGGAAGGTTCTTGAATCGTTTAGCCAAGGACAATGAACAATGTAGCGACAATGCGTCTGTTTTATCAGGGCTAACTGAAGTGGAAATTTTAAGTTTAATTCCTGAGCGTCGTTTATGTCTCCTGTCTTGAAGCGTCGTATTGTGTTTGTTCACATGCTGAGTCCTTTTTGTGACATGGCGTTTGATTTCGCAGGCTGCCTTAATTCCTTCACTTGTACTGAAATCGAGCGTAACATATTATAGCTTGGTTGGAAACGGGATTCATCTCTAAAAATGAGTACTAAAGATACCAGGTACACTTAACATTTATTAATTAAAAACGGAATGTTTTTGTTTGGGTTCGCCGTTTAACATGCTCCGATGGAGCAAAATCAGCTTTTGTTAATTAATTGATTAACCCTTATAAGGGGCAGCAAAGTTGAACTGAATTAAACAAGCGCCGAGTGCACAACTATTGAAATGAAAACACCCTCAGGATTTCAGGCTTGAACTTACTTGAACTTTATTTTTATTTAAACACGGTAAATCTATCAGATAAAATAATAATAATAAAAAATTGCAATCTACTTCTTATCCAAATCCAAATCATTATGCTTATCCAAATCATTATGCTTATTTATATACTGAATATAAGTTTTAAAAATTGGAGTTTTGATTAGTTTTGCTCATTAATAGCATTGCTCGTCGAGAATCCGCTTCTACTTCATTTCGGCAAAATTAAAGAATTGTTCTATTTATAACACTGAGTTGTTAATTTAAAGGCTAAAATTGTTGAGATTAAAAACAATGTTTTAAGTGAAAGACGTTCAGGCCTAAATCGTCTCGCGTCTCTCGCGTACATTGAGATACAAGCTTCAGTCCGCATGAGTCCGACTTGCTCCAACGGACTAAATTAATAAACTGCTGAAAATTTATCACTTTATACTTCTACATGAGAAATTTGTGCAGTTTGATTAGCTTAGAGCAGTAGTATTTCAGCTTAATTTGAATGCCTACATGTGAAAATTACAAACCTTGTGCGGGTAGTAGTATAAACAAATAAAAGCATGATTTGTACGTGATATTTGGCATAAATACCACTTGTGATATTTCAAAATTGTTTCAAATTTCACTCCCCTAACGGCTTGTGAACTACGTACAACAATTTCGAAATATCACTTGTGGTATTTATGCCAAATATCACTATACAAATCATATACACTATACAAATCATGCTATTACCTATACAAATATGCATTTAGTTTCAAGGCCTTTATGGTTGTTAGAATTTCATAACGGCAGTATTTTAAACACTGGGCACAAACGAAACTACTTGGTACAGGTAATGAACAAGTTTTGCTGCGTGACTTTACATTTGTTTGTAACTTCAATCGTATATTTGATTAGATTGACAGAGACGATAGTAGAAAAACGGGAAGTGGAAATTAATTTTACAGTAAAAGTTAAGAATATAGTTCAGTGGCGTAACTCGTGTTGCTTGTGCTGAGTGACGCAAGAGAGTTTTTAAGAATAACGAACAACACTTCTTTAGTTTTTGAGTGGTAACTGAAGTGGAAACTTACAGCCTATAAATTAATTAGCGTCGTTTTTATTTAATGTTGCGTGTAGGCGTGGCGTGTGTTTGCAAACGCACTGAATAATGTTTTACGCCAATGCGTCTGTTTCTAGCTGAGACATCGTTAGGCCGCCACTTAATTAGACAGCGACATGCCAGTTGAACCGTGCGGTAAATTACGAGCTTCTGTCGAGATGGGCAATGCCTTTAGAAATAAATAGTCGAGTCTAACATGGAAACTTTAAATTTTTAGAACAGACTGTTTGTCTCATGTCACTTATATTAAGGTCGCTGGCACAGGAAGCATAGGAAGGTACCGGTATTACATTGTAGTATAGCTAAGCTGAAAACAATGGAGGACGCCTATTTTTATTAGAGATAACTGAAGTAGAAAATTTTCGTTGAATTTAAGATGGTTTATATGTTGTATCGTCTGGGCTATGTCACGGCATGTCTAGTTCGTTTGCTATTTATATTGCCAACTACGCTTCCTAAGTGCAATGGAAGTTGAGAAACTACTTGTGAATGGCAAAACCACAGCTTCGCTTCAAACAAATATCTCTTCCAAAGCATTATATCAAACGTTACAAACAACAAAAATGAACTTTTAAACAATTACATGGCTAACGAGTTTGTTTTAAATAAATCAATCCATAATAAATATGCAATCTAGCGTTTCAATCCTATCCACGTTTGTCCAATTTTTATGTTTCACTCAGTTTGGTGGCAGTTCCCACCTCTTGAATTTTGATAAATTTCGCGGCACAACTCCTTCAAGATGTTGAATTTGTTTATCGAATTTTGAGCTGAGGCTCTAAGAGATTTTAAGACTGAAATTTAAGCGTTTTAATCTGAGCCTCTTGCGGTCGAGTACGCTTCTCGGGAGAGAGATGCAGTATATGAATCAAAACCCGGGATCAAAACACTGCCTCCTTAATTGCAAAACATTAGGGAAGAGAGCGATTTGAAGAATTT